CTGATGGGATCGGGCTTGCCTGGGCTATCCAGGTCAGGGCAGCTTCTGATTGTTCTTGAGCCTTTTGCTGCCAGCGGGAGCTGTGGGATTTTGGGTTTTGTCTTTGTTAATTCCTCCTGGTCAGAAAAACTAAAAATGACACTTCTTAGGGGTCGTGCTCAGGGGTCATTTCCTGCAGAAGCGCACAGGAGCGGAGCTCCGGCAGTAAAGAGCCCAGGGGGCGGGCACATGCAACAAGCCCCACCCCCTGCTCCCAGCAGCCCTCAGTCAGAGTAAGAAGCAGCCAGGTAAGTTGCAGAGCTCCCTCTGGTCCCCCGGTCCCAAACAGTCCAGTGGCAGCTTTAAGACCAAGTTTTATTCAGGTACAAGCTCTCCCTCCTCTGTGAGGACAGATCTGCATATCCCCCCCCCCCCAAAGAGCCAGCAATCCAAAACAGTCCAGTGGGGCCTGAGGGGTGGGTGTTCCCTTCTGACACACTTCCGGTGATGTCAGGGGGTGTGGCATATGCAAATAAGTTATGCTAATGAGCTCCTGCACCTCTTTTTCTACGAAATGACCCCTGGTCGTGCTGGTAGGAAAACATCCTCTGCTGTCCGTCCGTCCCCCGTAACTTGATACATTTGTGAAAGTGTGGGATGGAGGTGGGAACCTAGCAGGGAAATTCTGGAAATTTCTATAAGTTTGGCCCTGACCTGGATAGTCCAGGCTAGCCTGATCTAGTCAGATCTCAGTCCGCCTGGTTAGTACTTGGATGAGAGACTGCAAGGGAAGCCCAAGGTCGCTGCTCAGAGGCAGGGAATGGCCAACCACCTCTGTCCGTCTCTTGCCTGGGCAATCCTGTGGAGTCACCATAAGTCAGCTGCGTGACCTGACAGCACTTTTCACTAGTGTTCCCTCTTAGTGCGAGCCAGCTCACAGTTTTTTAGCCTCTGGCCCACGCATTTTTGTCTGAGCTTAGGAAGGGATGGCTCCAGAGCAAACTAGTTTATGCAGTAGCCAGATTGCTGGCTCACAACTTTAATGCCAGGAGCTCACAGAGTAGAATTTTTGCTCAGAAGACCCCACAGCTTAGAGCAGTGATGGCGACCCTTTTAGAGACCGAGTGCCCAAACTGCGATCCAAAACCCACTTATTATCGCAAAGTGCCGACACGGCAATTTAACCTGAATACTGAGGTTTTACTTGAGAAAAAACCACTCATACATTAACTTAAGATGATCCAAACAAAGTAAGGAAAGCAATCCCAAATGCTTTCATTTACTTAAAATTATTTGGCAGAGAATTCGACACTTTAGTGATGGTCTGGGCCTGGCTGGGGCGATGGCACGCGTGCCCACAGAGAGGGCTCTGAGTGCCACCTCTGGCACCTGTGCCATAGGTTCGCCACCACTGGCTTAGAGGGAGCATTGCTTTCCACCACTGTAAATGTGGGAGGAAAGCTGAGAAAGTGATGTGAGGTATGTTTGCTGTGGCAGCCCTGAGGGGTCGCAGTGTTTTGCTGGGTGACCTTGGGCCAGTCCTCACATGTCAGCCTAATCCACCTCAGAAGGTTAGATTCTTGGGGGACCCTTCTGGATTCACTGGAAATAAACAAATTGAAGTTATTTCCGGGGTGGGGGTGGGGAGAGGAGTAGACAGCTCTTCTGTGTACTTCCTGCACTCCTTTGAGGATAGAAACGTGATAGACAAGAAATGCTATTAAATCCTGTGCATGGCAATCCGTTTCTGCCTGTTCTACTTACCTGAAATCACAAAATAGGGTTTGATGTCTACTGACTTCATGCGAACTCTTGGGTGGTGGTGGTGTTTTTTTGCCATGCACTGACTGGTGGAACAGACTTGGCTGTTTAATGCGGTTCTCAATTAGTATAATTACCTTCATAGAATTACTGCACTCTAATGAGTTCACTTAGGTAATTATTTAATGCGGCTGTCGAGTCATTTCACACTGAGGTAGGCAGCATAAAGTAGATGATGATGACGGCGATGATTCTGCCGTAGAAAGCAAACAGTCCCCCAGGGATGGTCTTTTCTTCAGTGTGTTGAACAGAAGGGGCCGTGGCTCACTGGAAGAGCCTTGGGTTTGCATGTGGAAGGTTCAATCCCCAGCACCTCCAGTTAAAAGGATCAGGGAGGCCAGGGGTGTCAGACATAAAGCCCAGGGGCTGAAACCGGCCCGTCCAGGGCTCTTATGTGGCCCGCAGGCAACTAGTGCAAGGGAGGGGACAGGAGACTGCTGGGGGCTGAGTGGGTGGAGCTACTGTGATGGTGGAACAACCTCATCTGCAGCAGTCACGCAGTGTGGGAGCATCTGCCCAGCATTGCACCGCTGGGGTCTCCAGTCCACCCATGTGGGTTTTCCTCTGCACCCCCCCTCCCCTAGCCCATGGGGCCTTGCAGTGAGGATATACCACATGCTGTCCTTTATTAAATTTATATCTCTGGTACCGGGTATTTGTTTTAGGGCACACATAGCCCGGCCCGACAAAGTGACATTTATGTCTGATCTGGCCCTCGTAACAAATTTCGACATCTCTGAGGTAGGAGGTGATGTGAAAGACCTCAGCCTGAGACCCAGGAGAGCCGCTGCCAGTCTGAGTAGACGGTACTTACCTTGATGGTCTGATTCAGTACAAGGCAGCGCCACAGAAGTGTGTGTGTCTGCATGTGCGTGTGTGAACAGAGTTACTTCTGTGACTCTTACAAATGTAAAAACGGGATTTGGGGCTTGATTGTAAAGCCAAGCTGTGAATCATGACAAGACTACATCCTTCATCAACGTAGTCCAAGAACTGAGTTGTGCTCAGTCGCCCGGCATCCTCAGTGGCCCAATCACATCTGGCCACTGTGACACATGATCTCTTGGCACTCTTGTCTTCTGCTGCCCGGTTCCAGTCCAGACTAGGTTCTGAGGGCCAGTCCATATGTTCAGCAGAATCATGTGGTACAAGGTTCCCCTGGACTGTACCATTGCAAATTGGGGGTGTGTGTGTCAAATGGTTGGATGTTCTCAATCTTTTTTTTTTAAATGCATGTGGAGAATTGGCATGCCAGGAAGAAAAGTGTGGTTGTACCATTTTTATATAAGTTGGGCATTTATTTTTAGGGCAGTGTTCAAAAATTCAGTGCAAAAATACAGACTGTGCAAAAATGCACTCCCCTCACTCCATACTGAGATGGGTACAGTCTGGGAAGGCATTCATTCTTGCCATTCAATTCTGCTGAACGTATACACTCACCTCATGTTCCCATGGGAAGGATGAGGCGTCAATAGCAAGGGTCAAGGTTCCTGTTCTGCCCACAGTGTCGTGCCATGTGTTTGGGGGATTAGCTGTTGTCCACTAAGTTTTTGGTACAAGACAGCCTAGAGCAAAGGTTCCCGACCTTTTTGAGGCTGTGGGCACATTTGGAATTCTCACACGGCATGGTGGGCGCAGCAACAAAATGGCTGTCACAGAATGGCTGTTGCAGGAGGCGGAGCCAGAATGGCTTCCACAGCTTAACGTCAGTCACACAGTGTAGATCCTTGTGCTGTGGTGGCAGCTGCTGCCAAAGCAACATTTATTAAAAAAACAACTGCACAGCCAATCAAATCTCCAGTGGTAGCCTTGTGGGCAAAAGCCCTACCTAGCCCTACCTGAGAGCCAGTTTGGCATAGTGGTTAAATGCGTGGACTCTCATCTGGGAGAACCGGGTTTGATTCCCCACTCCTCCGCTCGCAGCTGCTGGATGACCTTGGGCAAGCCATAGTTTTGTCAGAGCTGCTCTTGAAAGAGCAGTTTCTGTCAGCTCTCTCAGCCCCACCTACCTCACAGGGTGTCTGTTGTGGGAAGGGGAAGGGAAAGGAGTTTGTAAGCTGCGCTGAGGCTCCGAGTGAAGGGCGGGGTATAAATCCAATCTCTTCTCTTCTTCTACCTGCTTCGTAAAAACTCTTGGCGGGTACCACAGGCTCCCCTTTGGGGGACCCCTGGCCTGGAGATACAGCTGCACCAGGAACCCCTAAACCAGCCTCTCTAGATAATGAACTGGGGTTGTGTAAGACTCAAAGCAGAGTTCAGTTTCTTTTTTCCCTCAACCCCCACCCCCCTCACTCGCACCCTACCTTCCAGCCTGGCTTCTACCATGATTGATAACACCTTTGTATGCTGAGGTTAGGCATTTGAATTCTTCCAGTGCCAAGAACTCCTTTCACAGAAAGCAGTGGTTTGTGTCCCTGAGGGCGTTTAGCAGCTGCGGTACAGAACACCTGTTCTTTTAAAACATCAAGCCTTTTCATTCTGCCATTCACAAATAACATGCTAGAGCTTAAATCTTGCAGTGAGTTGGGGGTGGGTAGGGAGATAACTTTCATCTGTCCATTAAATCATTAAAAGCTTTGAATATTTTGCCAGCATCTTGCATGGATGTGATATTTGTTTACCCCAAACAGTGGATCTTCTCTGCAGCAAGAGGCAGGTGAAGACTGTAAAACTGCACACATTGACAGAATTGTTTGGCTGGCAGGTGTTGAAGTATCTGAATTACTTAACCACTGGCCTTTCAACTTTGCTGACTTTTACTTCCAACAAGGCGGGCCTTTTTGAAATTGTGTGTGTGTTTTATGTTTTAAAACGTACCAGGTAGATTCATTCGTACTTTAAATTCATTTCAGAGCCTCACGAAGGGCTAGTGGGGTTTCTTATGATCTGCTAGTAGGTACTAGGCAGAATATACTTTTTTGGATGACTCCTTCTTCAAAATCCATGTTGCTTTCTGCTGCTGAGCCATTTTCTAACATCTCTCTGTGTCCTGTTTATATCCTCCCTTCCTTCTCTGTTCCATGACAGGTGTTGCCTAAGAGTGCCTTTTCCCCAATGACTGTTGATTTGAGATTGTCTTAGACTCCTTCATCTTGTGTGTGTGTGTCTAATTGTGGCGCAGTCTGTCCTGGCGAATAGTTGAAAATGTGGGACACGTGATTTATATTCGCAAATAACATTTACTTTTGTACCTTCTCTAGGTTGGTACGTGGTCTGGCAGCTGTTCTTATCCAAATTCAAGTTCTTGCGGGAGCTGATAGGAGACACAGGATCCCAGCAGGGAGATAATGAAATTACAGAGCCAGAAAGTGAACAGGATGGATCATCTGTTCTACAGAGGAGCAGGCAGAAGTCAGCACGACAGCGGAAGGCACCCGCAGAAGAAGCGACTTAAAGCAGCCCCTGGGACTGCTGGGCAATTCTCAAGCGAATGGCAAACACTGACGCGGTTTGGGTTGGTTCTGCTGATATATGGATGAAGAGTCCGAAAACAATTCCTGTAACCCTAGGAAGTTAGTTGTACTCCGGTTTCGACAAGATTTTAGCAGAAAGCCCGGTGATGCTTAAAGACAAAGAAATTATTAGAAGGAAGGCAATTCCTTCGTGTTCGGGGGTGGAGTTGGTAGCTGCTGTAACTCTTCCTGGATGGCTTACCAGGCCTCACATTTTGCACCCATGAGAATGTGATGAACTTCCGAAGACGGAAATGATCACTGTCTGCTTTTACAGGCCTGCAGCTATTTGCAGGCAGTCTTTAGTGTAATTTGTTTAGAAGCTTTTATGGAAATATATGTATTCCTCCAGCCTTATCCGCGGATGCAAGGATCTTCTTCGTTGGAGAATGGCTTTAAAAAGAGGGTACCCTCCCAGAAGACAACCAATATTAGGCTGACATACAGGGATTTAATGACTGACTTAATTGGGTACCAAGAGTTGGTATTTTAGTTTCCGTGCACGACAGTTTTCAGGGTTGTTTTTGTTTTGTTTTTAACCAGTGCAGTTTTATGTGTGTTTGTGTGTGTGTGTGGGTGCATTCCATCAACACCTTTTGTTTTGCCTACTGGAGAGGAGAGGAACATCTGTTACAGGCCCTTATACAATGGTATTTTTAAAGGCATTAAACCTGTGACAGGGTGGCTTTAAAATGAATTTGTTTTTTTTGCATTGTTTGCACCAAAAATTAAGGGAAGCTGGTTACAAGTGTCCAGCAAAGCTCTGGGGAGACCTTTCAGGATGGCCTCGCCAATGATGCAGCCGGGACCTTTGCAGCTGGCTTTCCTGGTTGAACTGTCAATTTTGTCAAATGCTTCTTCTTTGCCTTCTGGTGAACATTGACCTAGACATCAAGCACTACTGACAGGAGCTTCAGACTAGCTTGGGAACTGTAATGGAAGACGCTGATACTGACTTCAAACCGGGGATGCTTCATCAACAATAATGACGCTGGGACAAATCACGCCTCACTTCTTGAAAATCCAGACGCATCTTGCTGTGTTGTGGTGACTTTTTTCCGGTTCAGCTCCCTGCTTTGCAATCCGGCCCAGCAAAGGACTACAGCTAAGTGTCTTCATGCTTCCTAGTGGCTAAAAGCGAGTCCTCGTGATGGCAAATGCTTTAGACTAGCTCTCTCGGCCTGCAGTTTTGAGTCTTACAGCCAGGTAAAGGGCCGTTTTTTGGTTCTTTGGTTTTTCTTTTGATCTGTGGACAGTTTGGAACATCTGGAACACGTGGGATTTGAAGATGACAGTATTCACATCCATAACTAGCTCATTCCCCCCCCCCCCTGAAGTTTTAGTGTTCGGATCTACAGCAGCTGTCTTAACTGTTCCTTTTAAAGTATCGTCTTTGTTCTGTGTCTCAATTAATGTCTGTTGGAACACACCGTGAGGATGGCACTGTTTCACACCTGGCACGATTTAACACATTGTGTTTATACATGTGTTGCTGTGTCTCTGTGTGAGAAGTGGGTTTGCAGCTTCTAAATACGAATGTTTTGCTCATCAAAACTGTAGGGTAAGATCTCTGTGACAGGTTTCTTTCAGGTGGAGACGGTGGTAGAAAGAAATGGCTTGAGATTAAATAATATCAGATGTTTTCAGACCCATGTTCCCCTCATAAGTGTTTGCGTTATAAGTTGTATATAACAGGCATCCGGTTAAGGTCAGCCATTTTGTGCAACTTGAAGTTCCTTTTGGTGCGATGAAAAGCTCTCGCCTGTTGATTTTTGAGGAGCAAATCCCCTTTCTGCATGCTAGGTTTCATACAACTGTCTGCACACACCTGTTGTGGCTTAGAGAAATGTCCATACTAGATTACCCCGTCAATTATAAAATGGCTATTAATTGTCTGTCACCTCTGAAGGAAGTAATAATAGCTCACAGGCCAGTCTTTGAGAGCAGACCTAAAAAATACAACAGAAATGTAATGAGCTACTGTACAAAGAGGCAGAGTGACTTGGTATTCAGTTAATGAGGACTGAAGGGGAAACCAAGTGGTCCTCTGGAAGCTAGATCAAGATGGGTCGCCATATTAGTCTTTCTGTAGCAGGAGAAAAGAACAAGAGTCCAGTAGCACCTTAAAGATTAAAAACATTTGTGGCAGGATACGAGCTTTTGTGAGTCATTAGAACATAAGAGAAGCCATGTTGGATCAGGCCAATGGCCCATCCAGTCCAACATTCCATGTCACACAGTGGCCAAAACCCGGGACATCAGGAGGCCCACCAGCAGGGCCAGAACTCCAGAAGCCCTCCCACTGTTGCCCTCCCCCAAGCACCAAGAATACAGAGCATCACTGTTCCAGACATAAGAACGTAAGAGAAGTCATGCTGGATCAGGCCAGTCTCTCAGTGTCACACAGTGGCCAAAACCCGGTGCCATCAGGAAGTCCACCAGCGGGGCCAGAACTCCAGAAGCCCTCCCACTGACAGGCCTGAGACGTAGGACGGGGGAGGGCAGTGTCCAACGCAGAATCCCCTAGGTGACCTTAAGATAAAATCAAAACCAGGTTCAAAGTAGCTTGTCTGTGTTTCACCTCTGCACTCTATGCCAGTGGTGCTCAGTCACTGTGAGTCACAAAAGCTCATACCGTGCCTCAAATTCTGTTAGTCTTTCAGGTGCTACTGGACTCTTGCTGTTTTCTACTGCTCTGGAGTGTAAGAACCAGGGCTTTTTTCCTTGGGTAACGTGCCGGAACAGAGTTCTGGAACCTCTTCGACAAAAATCTTTTTAAAATTTCATGAGTTTTCAGTATACAGGTTGAAAACTTCATTTCCCTCTTGAGAGTTCTGGCACCTCTTTTTCAAAAAAACAAAACCCAAAAAAATGTGGGTGAAGGACTCTGGGAAAGCTTGTTTATCTGCAGCTCTTCTGACCAGGTTGGCTTCTTTGTTCAGTTCTATTCCTGTTGGTATTTTGAGAAATAACCATCATGGTTCCATGAGTAAATATTGCTGTTATCTTTTTGGTCCCACTAGGACTGCATCTGCCAGTATCGTAACCCCCCTTCTACCAATGTTCCTGCATTACATGCCTGATCCAGCACCTGGTTGCTTCTTTATTGCACAGAATTTTATCAGTTCTAGATCTAGTACTGTACCTTGCTTTCCATCTTCGCTGGCTACTTCCCCAATAATGGCTGGCCATCATGGAAGGTTCAATGTGACTTTGTGCAATTAGCCATGTATTAAATTCACAAACATTTTTTCTCTTTTAAAAGATTGCAAATAAACCCTGATTTCATTTGGAGCTCTCGAAAGAAGAACCAAGGATGCCTCCTCCTCTTTGGGCGGGTGGCTTCCTTCTTCCGTAGTTAGGATAGGGCCTGCAACACAAGTGAGTTTCGCCTGGATCATGGCCTTTTATTTCCTCGCTGCCCACTCTAAAATGGAGCTTGAAAGCAGGGGTCAGTAAGTTAGGCCATCAAAACTGTGAAGGCCATCGGATTTCCTGGGTGCCAAAATGGGCAAGATGATAGCAGCTTGCAGGGCCAGTTTCTCTTTCGTGCATCTGTTGCAACTTGCATTTAGTGCAACACAACGATTTGGTTGCTGCTCACCCACCTGTAATGATGTGCCACACTTGAGAACCTGAGAAGTGAAAATGTCTAAGGGATTTGCCCAAAGGTAACACTACTCTACAAGCAGCAACAGCAGTTATCCCTGGGATTGGCCCAGTCGTTCAGTGTGAGAACACCGCCAAACAGCAACACAGCAGTGAAACTGGTCAGTGAGGCAGAAGTTCACTGCCACAGGAAGTGGTGGTGGCTACAAGCATGGACGGCTTCAAAAGGGAATTAGATAAGCATATGGAGCAGAGGTCCATCAGTGGCTATTAGCCACAAGGTATAGATAGGGATTCTGGGGCAAGTGATGCTCTGTCTTCTTGGTGCTTGGGGGGGTCAACAGTGGGAGGGCTTCTAATGTCCTGGCCCCATTGGTGGACCTCCTGATGGCACTGGTATTACTGGCCACTGTGTGATACAGAGTGTTGGACTGGATGGGCCTTTGGCCTGATCCAGCATTGGCATCTCTTATGTTCTTAAGTTCTGCGGTAAGAAAACATGGCACCTTAATGCATGGCAGATATATATTTTTTTAATTTGCTCTTGGTGTTCTGGGTAGACATTTGCATCTGCAGGTCTCTCTGAGAAAGTTATGTCTCAGTGCTTGACTTCTGAGCAAGTATGACAGGGCCAATGCAGATGAACCAAAATTCCTCCAGGGAAGGCCCTTCCTAGGACAGGACATACAATCTGTATGTAGATTGTCACGTTCAACAGTGGAACCTTGTTCATTTTTAGTTGTATGCACACAGTGAAAGATGGGTGTGCATTGGCTGGACGTTTTGCTCTACATGCAAGTTGCAGGTTTAATTCTTTGTAGGAACTTTGTCATTTTCAAAACAGCTTTTATTCCCAGGTCCCACCTCAATTTCAGACTATTTCATGTAGAGTACATTTTTTTAAAAAATAGAAATATGTGCACATATTTTAGAGATTGCCAACCACTTAGTTCTGTAAACTACTGGTTTTAATGTATATGGAGAGTTGGGTAGTGTTGTTTTTTGTGCCTCCTAGTATGGCAACCACCTTGGCCAACATGGTATTGAATTAGTTTTTACATGAAATCTACAGATATTCATACCATTTCTGGGAAAGGTATGCAACCATATACCTGCCTTTGAAATCGAAGCCACAATGAAGACTAGTAGGACAAGTATAGGGTTACCATATTTTGAAAAGTAAAAAAGAGGACATTTTTCCCAACTGACTACTTCAAACGACTGATCACTATGACAAATTTCATTTTAAATGTACTATTTAAGCTGTGATAATTGCTACTAACTAGGAATATTCCTTCGAACCCCAAAAAAGGACATTTTCATCGGGTGTTTTTTTTGCTTTTTGTTTTTAAGAGTCCAAAAGAGGACAGGCACCAAGAAAAGAGGACATCTCGTAACCCTAAACAAGTAAATAATCTGGTTGAAGATTAAAAATTGAATTACATTTATAACTAGGCAGAGTGGTAGGACAGCTGTACTCTTGCAGGTAACTCTCCACCCTGCATCGCTTTTGGGATTGGTTTGCCTTCAAAATGCTCATTTCTCTCTACTGTGATGCAAAATCCCATTAATTTCAGTGCTGATCCCTGGTGCAGTTCATCTGTGGAGCACGGCTGTTACAAGCAATGGCGGGAAATGACACAGGCTGCTTCGTCATCACTGAGAAGCTTCTGGTGGGTTTTATATGGAACTCTGTGTGCGTGTTCCACCTTCACTCTTGTCCACAGGTGCAGGTAGACAGACGGTCACTGTAACAAGCGTAGCCTCCTGTCCTCCTTCCATGTTTATTGGTTAGTAAGTACTGTACCAAACACTTCTCTGGGCTTTCCCCCTTGTATTGTTCGTCATGTTGTGAACAGTTTTATTTTTCTTTCTTTGGACTGCACCAATACCCTGACAAATAAAATATAAATGGTCCAACTTGATAGGGGTACCCAAACTTCGATATCTTGAGTTTTTGGAGTCTTTATTTACCCGTAATAAACCAAAATTCAGTAGTGTATTCTAAAAATCCTGCTTGGTCAACTGGAGGGCAGAAGGTCTGCACCCAAACGGACCTTCTTGCAAAGCTTCCCGCAAAGCTTCCAAAAAGTGGAACCAAGGTGCAGTAAATAAGTAACTCAAAATCAAAGAGTATCATTGCTTTTGATTAGAGTTTGCAATACTGTCATGCAAACAGGAAAGATGCTGTTTTTAACTGCATGATGTTCACAGTTATGTTTGATAAAACACTGTGGCTAGGGTGGCCAGTCTGGAGAAAATGGCTGCTTTGGAAGGCGGACTCTGGCATTAATATTCCATTGAAGCCCTTCCCCTCCCTAAACCCCACCCTCCTCTGGCTTCACTCCCCAAATCTCCAGGTATTTCCCAACCCAGAGCTGGGCAACCCCAACCATGGCTCAGCGGTAGAGGACTTGGTTTCCTTGTAAGAGGTCTCAGGTTCAGTTGTTTTCCTCTCTGCTTAAAGGGTCCCAGTTAGCAAGTATTCAGAGAGACCTTTCTCTGCTAGAGAGACCCTGGAGAACTGTTATCTCCACTCCCCACCCCGGCCGCCAGACTAACAGCAGCACAGGGAGCTCAGTTCAGAATACAAAGACTCAGCTGGAGGTTGAAGAGTTTAAATCCCCTTTCCCTTCCCATGTGGCCCTGATCCAAATAAAATATGGGCAAATTATCCTTTAAAGACAGGTCCATGATCCAAATAAAAGCTGTGCAAATGATCCTTTAAAGACAGGTCCAT